GGGGGTGGCCGGCACCGTCGCAGGGGGTCACACCCAAGGGAACGGCACGGGGGTCGCGGGCGGCGGCGGCGTGGGCGGTCTCCTTCCACACCGTGTGCTCGTACGCCACCTTGAGTCCTCCCAGCTGACACAGGCCGCCGACCTCGTGCTTGAGCCGGTCGTGTTTGGCGTACACCAGCCCGCCCAGGGAGCAGCCAAGCGCGTGTTGGACGGTGAAGTCGGCACCGCACCTCGCCCCATTCGGGCGCTCGCCGTCGCACTTGTCTGGCATGTCCTGGTGGGGCAGGCCGTACCGGTGGCACATGGCGTCACGAAACTCGAGTGCACTGAGGTCGGTGTCGTCCAGCTGGGACGGGCGGACAGTCATGAACTGCCCCGTGTCGTTGCAGCGAGTACGCTCTGCGGCCCTGGCCTGGCCGAGAGGGAGGCGGCCGATGATGGCTGTCGAGTCGTGGGCGAAGGTCTCATCGAGGGACTCTCGGAAGACTCTCCTGGCCCTGTGCATCTGGCTGCGATGCGTTGCGGCGGGGAGACGAGGGGCGGAGGTGGCGATGGCGTGGGCGAGGATGGTGGTGCCCGCCCGGGAGGCCTTGCGCGTGAGCTGACAGAGGTCGGTCTGCCCGTCAAGTGGGGCCGAAAGGGGAGCACGGAAGGACGGGTCGACAAGGCCGATGCCGCCGTGGCGCACAGGGCGAAGGAGCAGCCGCTTCATGTCGTCAGAGAGGGGCTGTGGGGTGCCGACGAGTGCGGGCAGGAACGTGTCGGTGATGGTGTCGCGGAGGACCTCGAAGTCCTCACAGGTGGTGTGCATGACCCGCCGCAGGTAGATCCACTTGGCCTGCAGGGACTTGGCCGCCGCGTACAGGGCCTCCTGGGGGACGCGCGACGCGGCTTCGCTGAGCGCCCGGACGTCAGCAACGAACTCGGCGACCTTCTGCTGCACATACGCCCTCCCCGCCTCGGGCGTGCCCACCATGGCCCCCAGATGCTCCGCGTCCGTCACGATCCGCACCTCCGTCCCCTCGAAAAGACAAGCGGCCTCCTCCTCATCGCCCGGCTGCACCACTAGGACGCACTTCTTCGTGTTGATCAGGTACCGAATCTCCTTCCCCAGCTCAATCGCATCGTCAAGGTAGCCCCGCAAGTCAGGCAAGTCCCCCAGCCCAGACCCGTCATCAGCGAAGTTGACCTGGATGACACGAGGGTGGTGGCGCTGCAACTCCTCGAACATCGGGAGTGAGGCGCAGGCGAAGATGAGCGAGGCGGCGGGGTCCCCCTGGGTCACCCCCTCCCTGCTGTACAGGTGTGGCGTGCCGCGGCCCACGTGGAGGCGGGCGGGGAACTTGTAGACGTTCCATATGAAGCGGGAGGCAGATGGCCACCACCGGCGGACCTGCCACAGCGCGTTCGGACGGGCGGTGGTGTTCCAGGCGTTCGTCCCGTCCAACGCCAGCATCGCCTTCACACAGATGGGTGGCAGTGGGGGCGGGGGAGGGGCAGGGGAGCTAGCGGCATTGTCGGCTGGCGCTTCGGATGGGGGTGGGTGGATGGGCTCGAGGGGCTCCCCTGTCATGAGCGATGATACCACGTGGCAGGCGGCCTCTATCCCGCCCTGTTGGCCCGCGCACAGCTGCAGTGTCCCACACGCCTGTTCCACCTCTCTCCGCGCCGCGATGCAGATCGCCTTGGTCATGATGCGGAAGGGCACCTCCCCTATGCCGATGGGCCGTACGCCGGGCTGCTTGTCGAGCGCGATGAGGCGAGCATCCCTCAGCGCCGCGATGGTCCTCCAGTCGACGTTCTCACTGTTGATCTTGTTCGTCGCCCTCGCGAAGGCCTCCCTCAGCTGCTTGCTCGCGTCGTACTTGAGCAGCAGAGCCTCCCACACTCTGGCGTCTCCCGCCACCGGTCCGGCCCCCCCACGGATCTGGCGGGCGGCCCTCTCGATGTGCGCCTCGGTGACGACGGCTGGCCGGCACTTCGGCAGCTCCTCGGGGGGCTCTGTGAAGGGACCGGGGGCGGGCGGGTGCCTGGGTGGGTGCTTCCCGCGCAGCACGTCGAGGACGGTCCTGCCGGGTGCGTTGACTGGGTCGGCCGGGTCGCCTGGCTGCATCGGGCCCCCTCCGGCACGGTTGGTGATGTGCTTGACGGCTGCGGTCGTCCTGCCCTGCCCAATCATGGTCTTGAAACGATCGATAGCCCTGATCCGCCCGGCGCGAGCAGATCTGAAGCGGGCTGGGGAAGACGCCGCCCTCTTGGCTGCCCCGCGTCGCTTGGCCTTCTCCGCCGACTCCTCCAAGCGGGTCTGCACGTCCTCCACCTCGGCCACCAGGACCTCAAACTCATCATCCCTCCACAGGGCCGCCCGGCGCTTGATGCAGCCCTTCGTGGCCTCCTGCGTGTCCATGTCGGGGTCGCGCAAGAGAACGAGGGCCGTTGTTCACATGAAGGGCGACATGGACCTGCCGTGGTCGTTGAAGCCGTTCAGTTCTCGCGTGATGAGCTTGACCACCCCCTCGCCCTGCGACCCGCCGGGCACGAGGAACCTATGTGGGGTGAGCCCGCGGGTGGCGAGGCGATAGTGGCGCTCCTCCCATGTGCCGAGGGCTGGCCTCTCCGATATGTCCGTCACGAACGAGTCCCCATACGCCGCCTCGAGCATACGGAGTGGGTCGTCTGCGCTCCATGCCCTCGTGGTAGGGCCGTTCGCAGGTGCGTCGGGAGGGAGAGGGGGCGGGGAGGGGGGACGACCCAGCCTAGGGGGCAGGGCTGGCTGCGGATTTGGCGTATGGGGCGTGTGACGGGAAGCACACGACTCAGGACCACCTCGGCACTTGGACTCATCCGAGTGGGAATCACGAGGATGCATACCTGAGTGGGAATCACGAGGATGCATACCTGAGTGGGAATCACGAGGATGCATACCTGAGTGGGAATCACGAGGATGCGTAGAGGGGGGATTCGAATCCCTTCCCTTCCCCCTTTCTTGCCCCTCGGCCTCGACCGCGCCCCTCTCCCTGGCAAGCACCACGTGGAGGTTATTGGGCCTCCCCCTCAACCGCACCCTATCTGCGATGCTGTCAGCGGCGGCAGCAGCGGGTTGCTGTTCTGCTAGCCGCGAACGACCGCCATGTCGTCAGCAAACATAAATGCAAACGTGCCGCTCGTTTGCTCGTTTCGTTACCGATGTCGGTGTTGTCCTTGTCGTCCTCGTTCTGCTTGCTCTCAATCCCCCTGCAGCAGGAGTCAAAACAACAACATTCAATCGCGTTCGATCAGCATTCCGTTGGTTACCTCTGCCCGAGCATGTTAGCAATATACGTCCCGTACTGCGTCATGGACGCCTTATACCTGTACACAAAAAGAGAGAAGCAATAACAAAAGCGCCCTGCACCTGTGCTGTGCATGCCTGTAGATCTCACATACCGAATCTCCTGCTCTGCGGCCTTCTGCCTCTCCTGCTGCACCTCGTCGTTGAGGCGCTCAACGTTGCGGCTGAGAGCTTGGTTTTCTGCTCGCCTGAATGCACATCAGGGGACAACAATGCCGCAAGAATGAAAGGGTGGGCAGGCAAGAGTCGTCGTTTTGTCGATTACAGTGTTTGGATGCGCCTGTCCCTCTCCCGGACATCTTGGTCTCTGTGCAGAAAGAGGGCAACGCCATGAGCAACGGTGCATCTGGCGTTGTCTGAGATCAAAGGCGTACCTCCACTGCGGTCGGAACGTAGACTCTCTGAATGAAAAGAACACAACCGAGACCCCCGTTGGTTCGCAGTCTTTGTGCGGGACTTCCTCACCCTTGCTGCTGCGGCGTCAGCGGGCTGCGGTGAGCCCGAGGCCCGGGTAGCTCCAGAGCCTCCCTGCTGCTGAAGGCTTGGGCCACGCGTGGGTGCAGTGGCGACTGGCTGCGGCGATGGTGCGTAGATGATGCCGGGCGGCGGGCGGCTGGGTGGTCCGCCGACAAACCAAGGTGGCCCACGAGAGCCGGCGGGTGGGCTTGCCGCCATGGGCACGGAGTACTGACCAGGCGGGTAGGGGTAGCTCATCACGGCTGGAGCTCGAGATCACCGTTAGCCCGTAGTAACACGTAACCAGGAAGCGCGTGTGCGTCACAAAGAGAGTGTGACAGATCTGCCGACGAAGGCTTTCTCGCGAGTCACAACGCTGGTCACAACAGCAGCACAACACCGAAGCTCACCCACTTGCTCACGCACGTCAGTCAACCTGAAGGCGGTCTCTCAGACGGGCTTGGCTGGATGTCCACTGCCGTGGCGCCGCCTCCTGCCGTTTGCCGTTTGGGCACCTCGGGCATGCGCGAAACGAAACATCCGGTGCGCGTAGTTGCTCCGGATCTCAGAGGATCACAGCCGTGGACTGAACAATGAGGACAGCATGGGGCAGCCAGACGTCTTCCGCGTCGTCACACCGTCCATGCGTCGTTGCACCGTGTGTGGTCTTGTGCATCCTCTTACCGCTTACAGCAGCCTTCAGCAACACGCCACATGCACAGGTGTGCCAACAGACAGACATAGGCAGATCAGACAGACGAACAAACGAGTCCTATCTATCTCATCACGTCGTGTCTTGTGTGTGTCTTCCGTCGTCAGCCCGGAGTTTTGCACCGCTCCGCCTCCCTCTCCCCCGCCAGGCGCCCTCTGCCGTCCACCGTGCTGCTGGGCGAGTTTGACGAGTCCAAGGATGAGGACATTTACGCACGGCTGAGACAACGCCAGCGGGAGCTTGGCATCGCCGAAGCAGACGGCAAGACCGCCAGCACCACCAACAACGGCGTGTCCACTGCCACCGAGTCCCTGCCCGAAGAAGACGAGATGGACAGCCAAAACAGGCGGCGCGGCTTCCAGTTTGAGGAGAACACGTCGAACCCCCAGTACGCCAACAGGCGGGACCGTATCGGCATTCGAGAGCGGCAGGAGATGGAGGCGGACGTGCCGTTCAACGGGCTGTTCTCGACAGATCCCCGGATTGGTCTGGGTTTCTTCCTGCCCTTGCTGTCTGTGGTCAACTTGGTCCGCAACCCGCAGCAAGGCGGGAGGGGACGGACCACGTCGCTGAGCATCGGAGTGCTGTCGATTGCCCTCTTGGTGGCCTTCGCCTCCATTCAGTGGCTCTCTGGAGGAGCATTCATTCACCAGGTAAGATGACGAGAAACATGGAGGGGGCGAACGCATCAGTGTGTCCCTGCATACCGTCCGCACGTCACGTGTCTGTCTGTCTGTCTGTCTGTGTGGTCAGGCTGAGTATGCGCCGGTTGGTACGAGTGTTGAGGCGTACGAGAGGGTCGACCGCCAGCTAGCAGAAAACCCCGCCCCCTTATTCTCGGACACAGTCGATGGATACAGGTATGTATGCGCCGCACCGCACGCCATAGAGAGACTCACTCGACATGTGACTGTGACACACACACGTGTACACGTGTTGCTACAGGCGCAAGGTTTTGACGCGTAACTTGCGCGAGTCTTACCCTCTGGAGTGGGACCTTGACGGCCTGCCGGCGGACACCGCAGAGGCGGCCCCCAAGACCTCACTCAACACGCAGCAGCCTGACGCGTTCAAGACGCCGAGGGCTGACAAGATGGACGCACCCCTGACTCCACCCACCATCGATTTTGACAATGTTGTGTAGGTGTTTTGTGGCCACATGTTGTTGATGTGCAGAGTGAGGGAGGGAGTGAGGGGCGGGTGTACAGTACTCGGGGAGTCGAGGAGGGGGGGGGGAGGGGCACGAGAGTGTACATAATCATCGTGACGGTCTGGTTTTTCTGTAGTGTTTGGGTAGCCAGCTGGCTGCATGCCGCGTACGCCTGTGATCCCTTACTTTTGTAGGCCACGATATTGCCCCTTTTGCATCGATTCCGTGCAGGTTTGCTCCCTGGGGCTGGAGCGTCGGATGCTCAGCTGAGCGTGATTCGCTTAATGCCGCAGCTGAGCATCTGACGGGCCAGGTCGAGGCAGTCCACCTGCACACCAGATGCAGACATATGAGCGAGGAACGACATCTCACAAGGCGGCTGACCGACACGTGCAGCCAGGCACTGGTCCTTGTGCGATTTGTAGCGGCAGGCAGGCAGGTGAGTGAATGAGTGAGTGAGATGAGTGAGGTGTAAGGCGAGGATGGATTTTTGGCCAGTTGACCGAACACAGCGCCGCACTTCGGCCCCTTTCTCTTCTTTCTGTCATGTCGTCGGGTAAGGCGGGGGCAGAGTGTGGTGACCACTTCGCTAGTCTGCCTTCCACGACGATGTGCATCAGGACGGGAGAGAGGGACGGAGGGGCAGAGGGCTGCGAGGGTGATTCGGATGCCTAGAGGGGCAGGAGGATGAGTGTGGGTGTGTGTGGGAAGTGCCGGGTGAGTTTGCTGCTATGCTGAGAGACACGCACAGGGAGATGGCATGTGTGAGTGTGTGTGAGTGTGAGTGTGTGAGGTGTGCATACAAACGGACTTTTCGACGTAACACCTGAATGGATCGGTCCACCCCACGCACCATGCAGCACTCACCAAATGTCCCTCACATCTTCTTGTCCTGGTGACATTGACAAACACGTGCCATCCGGATATAAAATGAAGGCAGCGATAAACTTTCACGTCTCCACTCCCTCTCTCCCACCCTCCTCCCTTGACCCCCACAATCCATCTGTATGCACCCCTCCCTCCATGAGGACGGGCGGCTGTCTCTGTCTGTCGGTATGTCTGTCTGTCTGTCTGTTTGTGCTTGTCGGTTAGGCCGTCCACTCACACACATCCCAGACAGGCAGGCCACACACACCACCCCTCCCCCTCCCAGCACTAGTTATCCCATCACTGCCCCTGTACGTCCTCAAGCTCAGTCAAAGAGCGGCCAAAAAGGTCAGCGATCGACCCGGCGCAGCCAAAACATTGAGTCTATCAGTTTGCCCTGATACCACTCCCGCCCCCCCACCAACCGCCAGTCTACCCTCCCCAAGAAATGCCAGTCAGACACCGGCCTGCCTGCCCCTCCTTGCTACCCTCTTCCTCTGCCTGTCGCGGTTTGCTGCCACCGTCTCGGCCGTGATGTTCTTGTACGAGCCCAGCTCGCCCAGGATTCGCTTCTCCTGCAGCCTCCGGCAATTCCTCCTTGCCTCCGATGTCCTCTCCTCCTCGGCACCCAGCAGCTTGGTCACCGTCTCCTGCGCGTCCCTCTGCCTCTTCCTGTTGGCCGTCACCTTGTCCGCCGTCAACGTGGCATAGTTGACAGCGGACAGCTGCTGCTGCATCGCTGCGATGCGGGCCGACTCGCGTACGGGGGCAGCGTCGCCTTTGCGGGATGGGCCGAAAAGCAGAAGGCCCTCTTGTGGGGCCGGCAGCCCCGTGAACTCGAGTGGATACTTGGCCGGCCATACGAACAGCTGCAGAAGGCTTCATTGCACACACAAAAAGCGTCAACGAATCCACTGTGTTATCGGTGAACCGTTTCATCCCGACTCACTTTGTTTGACGCTGGCGTTCCCAATCATATCCCGCCAGGTAACTCGCTTCTCCTCGCCCTCCCTCGGCTCATGGCGATAGTCGATGATCATGTCCGTGATGTGACGCTTGATATCGTTGTCCTCACTGGCTTTGGTGCTGAACTGTCCGGGCAGGCCGCCTGAATGGCGTCAGCAAACACCGATGCAACACGAATGTTAGTGCAATATCTGTGCCGCTCGTTTGCTCGTTTCGTTACCGGTGTCGGTGTTGTACTTGTCGTCTTCATTCTGCTTGCCCTCAGTCCCCCTGCAGCAGGAGTCATAACAACAACATTCAATCGCGTCCGATCAGTATTAGGTTGGTTTACTTCTGTCGGAGCATGTCAGCAATATACATCCTGTGATGGGTCATGGATGCCTTATACCTGTAGTGCAATATCTGTGCCGCTCGTTTGCTCGTTTCGTTACCGGTGTCGGTGTTGTCCTTGTCGTCCTCATTCTGCTTGCTCTCAGTACCCCTGCAGCAGGAGTCAAAACAACATTCAATCGCGTCCGATCAGTATTCCGTTGGTTACTTCTGCCGGAGCATGTCAGCAATATACATCCTGTACTGGGTCATGGAGGCCTTATACCTGTACACACACAAAAAAAAAGCCATCACAAAAGCGCCCTGCACCTGTGCTGTGCATGCCTGTAGATCTCACATACCGAATCTCCTGCTGTGCGGCCTTCTGCCTCTCCTGCTGCACCTCGTCGTTGAGGCGCTCAACGTTGCGGCTGAGGGCTTGCTTTTCTGCTCGCCTGAATGCACATCAGGGGACAACAATGCCGCAATAATGAAAGGGTGGGCAGGCAAGAGTCGTCGTTTTGTCGATTACAGTGTCTGGATGCGCCTGTCCCTCTCCCGGACATCTTGGTCTCTCTGCAGAAGGAGGGCAACGCAATGAGAAACGGTGCATCTGGCGTGCAGAAAAGGCAGAAGGCAAGAGCTCATTTACCGTAGATGCAACCGCCTTTGCCGCCATGGTTTTGCCGTTGCCAGGCGGCCAAAACAGGAGGAGGGGCTCTTGAGGGGCCAGCTGCCCTCTCTGCCCGTCACCTCACGCACACGACGGAGACGCGCTGGGGACCTCTCAGCCCGCACACGCCGTTGAACTTTCTTCAGTTCTGAGCTGACGGTGGACTTCAGGAAGCGTGGATGCAGTGATACAAGTCCTCCGTGATATAAAATGTAGACAGCGATGACCACAATGTCATCATGTCTCCTCTTGTGTCGACCTGACATCCACACGATGACAACAGATGCGCGTACGCATTTGTGTGTGCGCATGTAATGTTGTCCACTTTGCCTGCACCCCGCCCACCGACGAGGGCATCTTCGGTGGACAACATCTCGCCGCATGGGGACACCACCGCCGGTTGTCAGAGGGGGGTTGCTGCCGAGCTGCATCATCCACACGGCGCTTGGCTCCTCGTCGTTGTCGCACGCACCACGACGGCTGGACGGAGAGGGGAAGTCCGGCACAGGCCGCGGGAGCCACATTGATGAGCCGACTGGCTGATAGATCAGACTTTATCCACCCGAACTGCCCGCTCGAGCCTGACGTCGAGCTCTTTGCCGCGTGCTGCGAACTCCGTGCACACCAAACACAACTACACCAACGTAATGGAGACAGCACGCGCATTCGTGGTGAGAACCCATGTGCATACATACCTGTCGACAAGTCCACCCTGGCAGGAGATGCGTCCCCCATAGATGCGTGTGTTCTTGAGCGGCTACCTGCATAGCAACAGCAAAGAAACAAGGTTGATCCGGTTATACCTGTGCTGTTCGGGTCGCCCACACCGGCACCCCGCGGAACTGGCGGAGGACCTGTTTACACAGCCACACACACATGCGTGTCCTTGGTGCGCGTGTACTCTTTGCGTCACGGATCCTCGGCCGACAAGCCCCTCCGGTCGAACTGGTTGAAGTCGAGTTCAAGCTCGTAGTCCTCTGCGCTCCTCCCTTGCACCGCCCCAACCGCACCGCCGTACTCGCGGTGCAGGTGGTCTGCCACGGCACGTCGAAGATCGGCTTCCGTGCGCACGCCGGCGAGTTGCTGCGGGTCCAAGGTGAAAGGGAACCGCGTTCCCCGCGTAGGGCCGGCGAAGAAGAAGTGGGACTGATAGCAAAAGCAAAGGTTATTCGGTCTTTCCCTCCCTCACTTACGGGCTGACCCGTCGTGTTTGTATTGTTGGCGAGGTCCATGATGGCACTTGTGGCGTTTCCCATCATGTACACTAGCTGCTGCGTCGTGGCGATGAGCACCTGGTTATCCGCATGCAGCCGCCATTGTGGCGGCGGTCATCTGGTCCAGCTGGGGCAGTTCGGGCACCTCCAAGTTGGCTTCGAGGGTAGCGTTCACCAACCCGGGCATCCTAGAAACATACACAAATCGACCCGATCACACGCGTCCATGTCGCCTGATTCTTTCAAATCCTTGCACACTCACGCGCCGTTCTGCCATAGCTTGGTATCCAGGAACGCCACTCCCTTGATGATGTGCCCCGTGCCGGGCATCCATGCCAGCAGCATAGACGCCCCATCTAGGCTTTCCCTTCATGCTGCGGACATCCTAGATACGTGCATAGACGAATGGACCGATCACAAGGGTCATTCTTGTCGCCTGGTTCTTTCAAACCCTTCCACTCACGGGATGCAGTTTCACATCGTGAGAATGCTGCCAAGCACCCTCATCGCGCGACGTGATTGACGAGGGCACCCGAAACGCCACCATCAGCAGTGCCGGCAGCACGCCGCACGTATGAAGTCCCATGATGAGGGCGATGCACAGAGTAAAGAGTCCTCCGTGATATAAAATGTAGACGGCGATAAGATCGAGACATCTTGCTGCATGACATCCATTTACCATCCATTACAATGCGCATCTGTATGCGTTTATCCTGTTCACCTGAGTTTCGTGGTTGATGCCACCCTCCGGTGTGACGTGCAGCTGCGGGCGGAGGGCAGTCATGCGGTGGAGCAGCGACGCCTTGACCTGCGCCTCCGTCCTGGCCGGTCCCAACGCGTAAGCGCCCTGCACACGCACACACGCAGCAGCAGCAGAGAGACACAGACAGGCAATTCTCGCTTGCTACGCATGTATGCTGAGGTCCCTCCCTCGCTTGTTAATGGCTGCCTTTTGCACGTGTGTACGTACCAGGAAGTTGTGTATCTGGGTCTTCTGGTCAGCCGACCATGCCGCCCCGCCGTACATGGCGATCATGTCCGTCAGCGCCGCCATAGGGTTGTTGCGGAGGTCGATCAACTGGCCGTGGACTATCCGCTCGGTGAACACTGTGTATCCGAACCGCATCTCAAAGAGCGTCTGGCCGAGAGCGTGGATGTCAGCCTGTGTGTTGTACTGTCTGCAGCAGCATCTCGGCCGGCCGCACGCCGCCAACCCACTGCACGCATGAGAGAGAGAGAGAGTGAAACAGAGAGAGACACATGTGTAAGTATGGGTGGTGACCGCCAGTGGATCGTTGACACCATCCCACTGAGCCTGCACGGCCTTGGCCCAGCCCATATCGATGACGCGTACGCGTTCGTTGCCGTCCATGACGACATTGTCGAGCTTCATGTCTCGATACATCACTGCATGTTCCAACAAACCACACAGACAGACACTTGTCTTCCCGCTTCTCTCCTCTCTCTCTGTCTGCCTCTCTTGCTTAGTTACTTACCGCCTGCGGCCTTGAACGCCTGGTGTACGGTGAGCAGCTGGCGTGTGATGGACTTGACCTGGCCGACGGGCAGGCCGGTGTAGTCCGCCATGTCACCCTGCAGAGAGAGGGAACAACACTTGTCTGTGGCCGCATATACATGTATGGCTGTCTGGCTGTCTGTCTGTCTGTCTGTCTGTCCTTCAAACCACGCACGCCCATACGTATTCATCTCTCCTCTCACCCACCATCTGAGCCATGTGTGCTTGTCTGTGGTCATCGAGCATCTGCGCGAGGTCCTGGCCCCCGTATGGCATCACCAGGTAGCCCTCCGAGTCGTCATCCGCGGTCGTCAGCGCGTAGTAGTCCATCACATTCGGGCACGCCTCGAGGGCCGGCTGCGACATGACCGTCGACTCTACTGAGTACATACACGAACGAACCAACTAACAGCACATGAGAAGAGAGAGAGAGAGAGGGTGTGTGTCAGTCCTCTCACCGTATAGGATGTTCACGTTGTTCTGGCCCAGACTCTGCACGCAGATCGAGACGACAAACAGACGTACACGGTTATGGATGGATGAGGCACACATGCATGAGACAAGCGATGGCAACTTCGCATCGGCTGGTCCATGCATGCACTCACCCTTTTGACGACGACGTCCTGACCTCGAGGCATGGCCATAGCCCACGGCATGCCGTCGAGGTTCGGGGCTATTGGTTCGGGGCTTGGCCGACGGGGTTTGGCTTGGCGAGCCACGTCTGCCCATGTGTGCCGGCGCGGAGCTGACGGATATCATAGTAGTTGTCGAGGACGAATGGCGGTGTTGCGGGCCCTGGGGCCGCTGGCTGCGCCATATGCGGTAGGGCAGTTGCTGTGTCTTATGAACGCACACAACACTCCTCTCTCTCTCTCCTGAATGAGTGAAAGTCTCTAAAGACTGAGGATAACTTGCACGCGATCATCAGTGGTGGTCAGGCCGTCCACTTGGACCAGAAGCTCAGCCTTGATGCGGCTGCATACAATGGTACAGAGACAAGGAGATCGGTGAGGGTGAGTGCGAGCGCATACACGATGCCTACCTGACGGCTTGAGAGCCAAATCCGACTTCAGCGCCCCTCGCTGACATGATCCCGTCGACCTCATCCATGAAGATGATGGACGGAGCACGCTCTCTGGCCACCTCGAACAGCGCCTTTACCATCTTCTCTCTATCGCCAAACTTACACGCACAAACAGCAGCAGCAACAAAGAAAAGACGCAATGACCAACACAAACAGGAGCGTGATTGCAGACAGTACCACTTAGAGCCGAAGGAAGCGGCGTCAACGTTGAAGAACGTGGCCTTGCACTGTATCGAAGAGACAACAAGCAGTACACAATGAAAGCAAAGCGCGGCAGCTCATTTACCTTGGACGCCGCTGCCTTCGCTGCCATCGTTTTGCCGTTGCCGGATGGTCGAAAAGCAGAAGGCCCTCTTATAGGGCCGGCAGCCCCGTGAACTCGAGTGGATACTTGGCAGGCCATAGAAAGAGCTGCAGAAGGCTTCATTGCACACACAAAAAGCGTCAACGAATCCACTGTGTTATTGAAGAACCGTTTCATCCCGACTCACTTTTGTTTGACGCTGGCGTTCCCAATCATATCCCGCCAAGTAACTCGCTTCTCCTCGCCCTCCCTCGGCTCATGGCGATAGTCGATGATCATGTCTGTGATGTGACGCTTGATATCGTTGTCCTCACTGGCTTTGGTGCTGAACTGTCCGGGAAGGCTGCCTGAATCGCGTCAGCAAACATAAAGGCAACACGGATGCTAGTGCAATATCTGTGCCGCTCGTTTGCTCGTTTCGTTACCGGTGTCGGTGTTGTACTTGTCGTCTTCATTCTGCTTGCCCTCAGTCCCCCTGCAGCAGGAGTCATAACAACAACATTCAATCGCGTCCGATCAGTATTCCGTTGGTTACTTCTGCCGGAGCATGTCAGCAATATACATCCTGTACTGGGTCATGGAGGCCTTATACCTGTACACACACAAAAAAGAGAGAGGCAGTCACGAAAGCGCCCTGCACCTGTGCTGTGCATGCCTGTAGATCTCACATACCGAATCTCCTGCTGTGCGGCCTTCTGCCTCTCCTGCTGCACCTCGTCCTTGAGGCGCTCAACGTTGCGGCTGAGGGCTTGGTTTTCTGCTCGCCTGAATGCACATCAGGAGACAACAATGCCACAATAATGAAAGGATGGGCAGGCAACAGTCGTTGTGTCGATTACAGTGTCTGAATGCGCCTGTCCCTCTCCCGGACATCTTGGTCCACGAACACGGCACTCACGACATTCCATCTCCTTACAAAGGTAGTCATCTACACGAGCATCGGGATGCATGTCGTTGTACTGCCGTGTTAAGTCTTTGACCAGCTCTTTCGACGGAGCAAGTTGCAGGACACGATGCTTGGTCAGCCGCTTCGAAGGAGGTGTCCCGCCAGAGGTCTGGTGTGGCCTTCGTGCACGAAGTCCTGTTGTCCTTCTGCTATGTGTGGCCACTTGTCGACGGTCAGAAAGGGGAAAGCCATCAGAGAGGCAAAGAGCCGCGAAAAGCGTCCACACAACAAGAAGAAAATGTCTCTATCCACAGACGCCACGCAAGTAGTCGAGAGGCTGGTACTCGGCTGTAATCAGTGGAGTGACAGGAGCCGAAGTGACCCGGGCTGATAGTGTGAGGCTGATCATGATGATAGGAAGATTTGCGTCACCGAAGAGGGTCCCCCGCCCCAGCAGCTCTGCACCAACACTCCCACTGGTCCGGTTCCTTCCACCGTCAGCACACCTATTTCCACAATGACTCCTCTGCACGTGTGGATGTTGGACGTATAGACGCGGCTCAGGAAGGAGTGGTGCTGCTGAAGCTGACGGACGCAACACAGACAGGCAAGAGGACCACACGTGCATGCATTAGCGGATCCGCCCCGTCCTCTCACCTGCCAACATCAGAGAATGAACCTGCCGTTGGCAGGCGGCCAAAACAGCAGGAGGGGCTCTTGAGGGGCCAGCTGGGCGTGGGCGCAGTGATAAAAGTCCTCCGTGATATAAAATGTAGACAGCGATGACCACAATGTCATCATGTCTCCTCTTGTGTCGACCTGACATCCACACGATGACAACATACGCACGTACGCATTTGTGTATGCGTATGTAATGTTGTCCGCTTTGCTTGCGCCCCGCCTACGGATGTCCTTGTCGAGGGCATCGATCTCCACCTGGCGCTCTCTCATCCGCTGCTCCCGCTCCCGAATGGCCGCCCGCTTCTTCTGGAGGCCGCCCTTGGCCGCCCGCATGGCGTCGATCTGCTGCTTGGCAGCCGTCGACGGCCAGCTCGACTGTGGTGCGGCGCTTCTTCTTGCTCTCAATCTGACATTCATCAGACACCAAAACAGGCACCTTAATGCGTCGATGTATCTCTCTCTGATGGCGTTTTCTTCGCTTACGGCCTCGTCGGTGCCCCACAGCTCTTACCACTACGGCTCTCTCAGGCGTTGTCGTGCTTGACTGGAGGCTTGTTCCACGCGTCGGGGCCATTGCAACCGGCTGAGGGCCAGGCGCATGAATGATGCCGGGCCCTACTCATTCCTCAGTCGACGCCTCTCCCGCCGATGAAACATCCAACGCTGGTGCTGATTGCAAAGCACACACACCAGATGACAGATGCGCGACCTCTCCCTCCCCTGTATGAGCACCCGGTCGTCCTCAGTTGACCCCCTCTCGAGCCTGTGAAAGACGCAATGATCAATACAACAGGAGTGTGATTGCAGGCAGTACCACTTGGATCCGAATGAGGCCGAGTCAACGTTGAAGAATGTGGCCTTGCACTGTATCGAAGAGACAGCAAGCGGTGAAGACTAAAGGCAGAATGCGACAGCTCATTTACCTTGGATGCCGCTGCCTTTCTGCCATGGCTGCCGTTGCGAAGTCGACCCAAACAGCAAGAGGGGCTCTTGAGGGGCCAGCTGCGGAGGCAAAGGGGGGTCATTCGCGGAGGCAGAGGGGCGTTTTGAGTCCAGGAAGCGAGACTCAGTGGCATTCTGGACACCGACAACGGCTGTTGCACTGGCGTCGGGTGTGGTGGAAGATGCGTTGTCGTCTTTGCTGCTCGTCGGCCAGCAGTCCCATCTCTCTCTCCCGATCCGCACCGTCACGTGCTCCTGGGCCAGACGTGGCGGCGAAGTGGGTGGCTGCTGTGGCGGCAGAGTGGGGTCCGTCTGTGCACTGCGCACGAAGAAGGGCGGGCGTGGATGCAGTGATACAAGTCCTCCGTGATACAAAATGTAGACAGCGATGACCACAATGTCATCATGTCTCCTCTTCTGTCGACCTGACATCCACACGATGACAACATACGCACGTACGCATTTGTGTGTACAAGAACAGCATTCATTCAACATCTGAGTCAACACGTGCATGTGTACGCGAAGCTGACCTTGGCGAGCAGTGCAGCCGCCTTTTGTGCGGACGTGTGCCAGATGCCGCAGTGCTTTCTGTCCGGTTCATCTTGGGGCCGGTATCGAGGAAAAACCACTGCACAGATCAAGGTCATGACATGACAATGGGATTGGGTGCATTCACGGCATGAGGGGGTTTTTAAGTGCGATTCGTTGCTCACCACTTCGGGGTGGTCCGGCAGCTGAGGAAGCACCCACTCGACTACCCAATCGGCGAACACATGCAGATCTACTTGACGCGGCTTGAGGTCGAAGCGCCTGCCGAACTCGGCGAGGAGGCACGTCACCTGCCCAACACACGCAGACTCGCACAGACATGACGGTTTGATGGGTTGACATTGAGTGTGCGTATCGGCACTTACATCGCCCACAGCGTATCTGCAGCAGGTGAAGCCCTCCCACCCGATGCCTTGGAAGGGAGGAGGGGCAAGATCCGCACCAGCACCAGCTGCGGCCTCCTGTCTCTCCTTCATCATGGCCTCGTAGCGGGGCCACAGTCGCGCCTCGTCGTCCTTTGGCAGGGGCTCGCCAGCCAGCAACAAGAACAGCAGCGCGTCGTCTGTCGCCTGCTGTTGGTCCGCCCTGGCCGCCTCGTCCATGGCCTCCTCTCCAGCAGGTGCTGCAGCGGCGCTTCTGCTCTGTCGTCGCCCTTGTGGTGCTCTCGTGGGGGGGCTGGGCGTCTTGTCTGGGCTGGGCTGAGCGGGTGGCTGAGTGGGCGACTGGCTGGCCGACTGTCTGGGCGACTGGCTGGGGGACTGCGGGCGGGCGGTGATCCGGGCTTGGAGCAGCTCTGAAGCAAAAGAAATACCGAATGACCACATTCTCTTGTGTATACCCGCTTTGTCTGCGTCCCGCTTACGGATGTCCTTGTCGAGAGCATCGATCTCGACCTGGCGCTCCCTCATCCGCTGCTCCCGCTCCCGGATGGCCTCCCGCTTCTTCGGGTAGCAGCCCTTGGCCGCCCGCATGTCGTCGATCTGCTGCCGGTAGCCGTCGACGGCCAGCTGGACTGCGGTGCGGCGCTTCTTCTTGCCCTCAATCTGACATTCACCACATCACAACAGGCACCCCAATGTGTCAATGTATCTCTCTTTGATGGCGTTTTCTTCGCCTACCTTCTCCCTGTCCCTGTCCCTCTCTCTCTCCCTCTCCAGTGTCAGCTCGATGGCGGGCACCAGGGTGGACATGGACCTGTCCATCTCACGGTGGTGGCCCGCCTCATGCCATCCCCCCCTTCCCCCTCCTCGTCACGATGGGCGCCCATCTCCATCGTGGCTTCCCTCTCGGGCGCAGCCCCCTAAGACACAGAGAGAGATACAGCCAACCACTCATCTGCAAGTTGAGGACGTATCTATGTAGTCTTTGTTTGGGTACCTGTGTGTTGGTGTTGGTGTTGTCAGGGGTGGCCTCCTCGCCCATCGCAGCCGCCTGTTGAACAGGAGAAAGAACATTGCATCAAGCGATGAGTGCAACATTTCCCCCTTGGCATCCTTGGTACCTGTGCCGCAGCGGCCTCTCCCGTAGCGCTCTCCTCAACTCGTCCCTCGCCTCCTCATCTGTAGACAGACACAGAGAGAAACACGAAGGTGATACACCTGTATGTATCACCACATTGTCATGTAGCTATCTCGGGAAGTATGGGCCTGAGCCGGCCCGCCATATCTTCCCCCATAGGGGGTTTGTCGGGTGTGACAGGGCATTCGGTGTCTATTCAGAGGAGACGTACAGGGCAAACACGTGTAGTGGCTCGTCCAAGCCAAACTCTCACTACCTGTCGCTTGTCTTCTTGTACGAACTCGCTCGTGGAGTTTTCATGATGGGTTTCGGAAGAGGGCAGCTACGAGAGCAGGTTCCCCATCGTGTCTGAGGCAAACAAAGAGACTGAAACACAGAGACTGGGCAGCTGCTTCTCTCTGACACCAGAAACACTCCCTGACATCGCCCAAGGCCTTCTCAATTCATCCCTGTCCACCTCACCTGCTGGGCCGTGGCCCAATCTGGGCGATGCTGCGGCTCCTCTTCTTGCCCTCAACCTGACATTCACCACACCGGTACAAGTATGTCATTCTATTGTGCATGATGGTACTGGCTCACTCTCTTACTGTCTTACCAGCGCCTTCCTCTCCGCCTCCAGCCGCAACGTGTCCACGTCGCCGTCCTGGAAGGGCAGTGAGCGTGGCCGCCTCCCACCGATGCACTGCTCGGCCTGCAGGTGCACACAGGAAGAGTGCATTGACCATCTCCTCTACGAATGTTGGCTGTGTGTTGGTGTTGGTGTTGTCAGGGGTGGTCTCCTCGCAATTGCAGCTGCCCGTCAACCAGGAGAAGAAGATGGCATCAACCGATGAGTGCAACGCCTCTCCCTTTGCTATTTTGTGACCTGTGCCGCAGGATGGCGAGGAAGCGTCCGCGGCTCTCTCGACGGCAGCGAGAATGCGGTCCAGGTACACCTGCACCACACTGCACCCCGCTAAATCAATAGGCATCACCATAAACCACAGTCACGACCTCTCAGCCCCGCACACGCTGTTCAACTTCCTTCAGTCTTGAGCTAATGGTGGACCTCAGGAAGCCCTCTTCCCCTGTCACGCAACGGACACGACGGCGACGCGCTGGTGGCGACTGCTGCTGTCCTCCCGTCAAGGAGCGGCTGCGGGAGAGCTTGGCGGCCTCACCCCTGCAGGTACCACAGTAGAAGTTGGTGCAGAGTGCAAACGTGGTTACCTCCGCTCACCAGCCTGTGGCTCACCAGTTGGTGATGCTGTCGATGGCAACGGGGATGACGTGGCGGCGAGGGAAGGAAAGCGCGACGCGTGCGTGGACATTGGCGTTGCCATTTAGCTGATAATGAAGCTGAGGGATGAAAGGGAATATTCTTTGTCTCTGCCTCTGTCCCCAATTCTCGACGGGGGCAAGTCTCGACACCGCGCACTCCTCTGCACCCTTTTCGGCTGGCGGATTCATCCATCACTTAGTCATCCATCCATTCTGAATGTCACAAGCAGAGGAGCAACCTGGAAGAAAAACAGATCAAACAGTATGCGTCAAAGAAGAGCATCTTGGTGTCAAAGGTGTGATGATCTCTCTTCCTGTTTGTTGTCGTGCCGCTTGCAGGGTGCAGATGTGCTGCAATGGCTTGTCGAGCCCGTCGGCATCGACAAGTTCTTCAAGTGCTACTGGGCAAACAAGCCCTTGTGCATCAAACGCCATGATGACACATACTTGAAGAACATCTTCTCCAAGCAGCAGCTGGGTGAGCGAATCAGGCGCTTGACTTCATCAGCCTTTCGGTCATCGACTGCCTGACCCCTTCCCGTTGTTTCAGATAGTCTGCTGAAGGATGGTCTGGATGGGCGGGACGGCGGCAAGTCGGGTCGCCTTCAGTACCAGAGCAACCTCATCGTGAGGAAGTATGTGGATGGCGAGGCAGTCAAGTACGAGAGAAGCGGCGAGGCGACCTTCGAGGAGGTCGACCAGAAGTGGCGGGACGGCTGCACGCTGCAGCTGATGCACCCGCAGCAGTTTGTCGACCCTCTCTGGAAGATTTGTGCGAAGCTAGAGGAGCTCTTCGGCTGTCTGGTGGGTGCCAACTGCTACCTGACGCCGGCCGGCACACAGGGGTACATATGACGAACGACCAATCAGGAAAAGCACAGCTCACCACACCAAATAACTCTCTCTCTCCCTCTCTCTGCTGGACTGATGCCTGCAGGCTGGCCCCGCACTACGATGATGTGGACGTCTTCATTATGCAAGTGACAAGATGGGAAGATCCATGAGATGACCGAGGTGCCCACATCAGCTGGCTGTGTGTCTGTGGTGTGGCGCAGTTGGAGGGTTCCAAGGTGTGGCGTCTGTATGAGTGTGTGGACGGTCCACTGCCGCGTGAGTACTCCCGCGACTATCAGCAGCACGAGATCGGCAATCCCATACTCGCCGTCACTCTGGAGCCTGGTCGGTACTGCACACACAAACGAAGAGATCAGCCAAAATTCAGCACAAACAGACCTGTGAGTGGATCGACTCGCCGGTTTGCTTGTTCAGGCGACGTCATGTACTTCCCACGTGGCTTCATCCATCAGGCCATTGCCGTGGGAGATACGTTCTCGCACCACGTCACAGGTGAGGAAGGAAAGGGCATGCACCCCACAACCACCAGCACCGCCATTCATCGCAGCACCGATTGCCCATCCTTCTGCGTCCATCCATCCAGTGTCGACGTACCAGAGGAGCTCCTGGGCTGACTTCATGTCCAAGACGGTCGACACGGCACTCAACAAAGTAAGCGACCCACCCCGCCCCAGCCGCACTGCACGCCATCCCAACACCAATCCTTGCTGTGCTGCACGTGTCTGTCTGCAGCTGTTCGATAGCGACTTCGCCTTCCGCAAGAGCCTTCCCGTCGGCTGGAGTGGCTATATGGGCCCAGCGTACGACGAGGACAACGGCAGCGGCAGCGACCTGCCCGAGACCAAGAAGCGCAAGCGTTCATCAGGCGAGGCCGCCACGCGAGCCACTCGGCAACGTCTGCAGCATGAGTTCGGCAGGACCTACAGCAAGCTGCTGCGTCGGCTGTCGGCTACTCTGCACATCAACTCCATGGACCTCCATGAGGCGGCAAATGAGTTCATGATAGACTTCCAGGTGAATCGGATGGCGCCCTATCTGCCATCCTCTGCGAAGGGCGCTGCTGCCGGCCGGAAGAGAGGCGAGGCGACGAGCGCGGAAGAGATGGAAACAGAGGAGATGGACGCCGCTACCATGGTAAACAAACAGAGTGGCGCGCTTGTCTCTTTCCTCACTCTGTTGTGTCATATAATGTCAGGTTGCCATTGCAAATCTGAAGCCGAGCAGCCGCATTCGTTTCCGCAACCCCTCGTGGGCGAGGATGGTCTTCGACGAAGACCAAGATACAGAGGCCGAAGGAGACCGGACGCCCGTCATTCTGGTACCTAGGAGAATGAAAACTGAGGGGCCGCCGCATGCAGAAGTCTCTCTCTCTCTCCCTCTGTGTGTGTGTGTGTGTGTGTGTGCAGCTGTTCAGCACCCTCAAGAACGACCGAGCGCACCATATGGATGGAGAGCACACGCCAGACCCCTCATGCCTCAAATTTCCACGTATGCGCCTGCACCAGACACTCACCATGCACAGTGCCAAACCTCATGCTGCGTCGTGTTTTTCTGCAGGCACCGAGGAGCACGTGAGGTCTCTGCAGATGCTGTTCGACTGGCCCATCCGGCCCGACGGGCGAGGCGGCCCTCAGCAGAAGGGGCCGTGGGTGCACCTGCGCGACCTTGCATTCCACAATTTCCAAGACGCGAAGGCCTTTGCCGTTGCTCTACTGGCGGAAAGCCTTATCGACGTCGATCAGGGGGACAAGTGAGGGCTGTAGAGGCCGTGCATTTGGTTTGCATTGTGTCCTTGGAAAGAGGACGGGTGTGTTGATTGCTGAGAGATATACGATACACGCTTTGAAGGCTATCGGTCAATTCACAGACACGCCCCACCCCCAGAGGCCCGGCTGGGCTGCTATGTACACATAGCTATGCATGCACATGTACACACACCCGATTTGATTTGTCGCAAAATCCAACAAGCTAAGCTACTCCTGTATGTGTCAGAAAGGGAAAGCAATCTACCCCCTCGCTACAGACAGGACGACAGCCGGCCGCGTCGCTGCAAACCGCACAAGCCACTCGCGCATCCTGCGTCCGCGTTGCATCCCCATTGATGCATCCATCAGACACTGTGCCTGCAAGGCAAACCACACAGGGAAGGCTCACGTACACAGCGGCCGGCCTGTCCCATTCCTTGTGCGTACGTGTCCTGGAGGCGCTGTATTTGTCTTCGGCAGATGGGGTAGAGACGGCCGGGCCGGCGGAACACTTGAGACGCGCACTTGTCGCACGACACGAAATGGCCACACGGAATGAATGTTTTGGTCTTGGTGGCGCTCATGCATATGCTGCACTCCTCCGTGTTGGTCTGCGCCCGCACGGCCGCCAGCATCGAGGCAGTCTGCAGCTTGTCCCACAGCGACCGCATGCCATCCAGCCTGACGCAGATTGACAAGGCGACATACGAGTCAACTGCATGCGCCGCGCCCCTATATTTCGCTCCCCTCCTGACTATGTGTTCTTTCTGCTTTCACGACTGACCTCTTCTCGTGTATGTCCTTGGCCTTGCGGGCGTCGTCCTGCGCGTTGATGAGGCTGATGATGGGCCGTGCGGCAAGGTCGTCCTCAGTCATCCCAGCGAACTCACTGACACGACAGAAAAGGTCACGATTGGAACATCGCGGGCCTCGTTTCCTCACGCTTGCGACTTACGTGAGGCGGCCGACATCCACGTCATCCCGCATGGTCAGGTGTTTGAGTCGCAGCTGCGACTGCTGCAGCTCGCCACGCAGTCCACGGATGTCGGCCTCCAGCTGCTGCTTGTGCGTCTCCAGCTGCTGCCTCGCACAATCAACCACCTTCATGCTGAAGAAAAACACACACATAGACTCATGCGCTCGTTGGTCTGTCTGTGTTCATCCCCACTTTTCCAGCAGCCAGTTTTGTTGGTCCATCAGCTCCGCTATCTGCCCAGCCTGTTGGTCCCGTTCACGGCTGACACTCCTGTGGTCGATGGTCTTCTGCTGCAGCCGGCTGTTGGCGTCCTTGAGTCGCCGGGTTAGCTCGCCGACCTCTCTCTCCTGCCGTTGGAGGCTCTTGACCTGCTGCTCGTTGCAGCTGCGGAGCAGCGCCAGCTCCATGTCCTTCTCGGCGAGTGTCCAACACATAGACTCCATCCTGCAGAGGCACAGGATACATGTGGTGACCTGGTGTGCAATGAGTGCACTTCACCCCACGGGCCCCATGCTTGCCTCCGTCACGTACCGCTTCCTGTCTTCTGGCGTCACTGTCGTCTTGGTGGCGAGTTCCCCCTCCTTGTCGCTGAGCGCCTTGCCCTTCTCGTTGAGCTGCTCCTCCCACATGGCCAGCTGCTGCTCCCTCTCGCTTGACAAAAGAAAAAGAAAAACAGAAAGCAAGGAGAGAAAGGAGGCTGCACAGACAAAAGACGGCCTGCGTATCATGGCATGTAGCCTACCGGTTGGGAACCTCCTGCAGAGTCGCCTTGTCCTTGAGTGCCTTGATCTCGCCCCTGCAGACATGGAAGATGGACAACAAAAAAGATCAGCGGCTTGCGTGAAAGGCGGACTCGTTGACTCACTGACCGCAGCTGTTCCTCCTTGCTGCGAGATCTGCCAAGGGTATCCTGGTAGCCTCGTACACTCTGCCGCAGTGTCTTGTTCTCGTTGCTGACCATACGACAGACAGACAAATGAGAGAGACAAATGGGAGGGCGTCTCTCCGCTGACCGACCCACCGCAGCTGTTTCTCCTGGAGAACGGTTTTCCTCGCCTCAGCTTCCAGCGTCTCGATCCTGCCGACAACAGAGATCGCTTCATTCATCATACCGACGGTTCTCTTCCTTCTAGTATGTGTGTATGTACCCACTTTGCATTGCTCTCCTCGATCTGTTTCCGTTCCTCGACAGGCGAACCGGACATGGCCTCAATGCTGCCCAGAAACGGAACAAATTTTGAACCCAGCGGGCGCTGCATGGTCCTCCTCGTGTCGACCACTGACCGTGTCTCTAGGTCCCGCACCAGCGCCGTCCTCTTGCTCTGCTCCGCGGATTGGTCACTGAGGCGGCCCTTCTCATGAAAAAGCCTGAATGGATGGAAGGCCCGCAAAGGATAGGAAGGCGTCAGTCTGTAGGGAGGCCGGGACGCCCTTGCTGTGTGCCTACAGATCCGTGAGAGTCCTGATCTCCTTCCTGCAGATGTGCAGACAGACACGGACAAAGGGAAGGGAAGCACTGTACTGTCGATCCACACAAGGTTCTCAGCTCACCGCAGCTCTTTCTCCTTGATGGAGGCGTTCCTTTTTACCAGTTCAAGGGTCAGTATTCTGACAGACAAAGACACACAGACCGATCCATGATCGATGTTGTCCGGCAGGCTGTTGGGTTGCCCTTGCCTACTTGGCATCTCTGTCCCGGATCTGCGCATCGATCGACAGAGGCAGCTGGTCTTCTGGGGACTTGCACATGCTTCGAGGATAGGGAAAGAGTAACACGGAGAGGAGGACGACACACACGGCCGACAGGAAGCCCTTCGATGGGAAGGCCTCTGGTTCCTGCTGCATGGATTCACACACACCCGCAAGAACTCAATACGGTGTTCCTCACCCCCACGCGATTGTGTGTGCGTGTCTATGTACCGGGAGCGTTGAAGTGGTTTCGTTGGTTGCGTTATCGGCGGCGTCTTGCTGGCCAGCAGGTGGACTGCTCGAGGAAAGGGCGCGGAGAAACTTCTGGGCTGCGACGGCAAGGTCCTGGTCTTGGCCCGACTCGTCGATGCCCAGTGCTCGGGCTCTGCTGATGAGGGAACGGTGATGTGCCAAGACGTAGTTGCGATAGGCCGCCGGTTCATCCAAAGCACCACTTGTCATGGCGGCGTGCAGCACTTGGAAGATGGCAACCTCGATCTCATACAGCAAGCCGCGGCCCTCCTCCGCCAATGCACCACCAGCTTCTCTGTCGGCCAGGGACGACCTTACCCGCTCGAACCCTGTTGTCCGCCTCTTCAGGTCGGCTGTAGTCCATCGAAACGGATAGGCCAGGTCCACAAGCCGCTTAAGTACATGTCTCAGTGCAGGGATGGTCCAGGCCTGTGAGTCCGCCAGCATGGCCTCCATCAACACGCCGTCGTGCTGGCCAAGAAGGGCCATGGTCTTCCGCGTCCTAGGGTGACCCGCACTGGGGTGCTGCCGCTTCAAAAGGCGGTACAAATTGATAAGGCCGGCGGATCGCTCTCCCGGGTCTTGTGACTTCAGGCCAAGGATAATCGGCGACACATCATCATCGAACCCGTGTTCAGCTGTGTTGATTGGAAGGAAAACACGATGACAATGCAAAAAGCAATGAAGCCGACAAACCAACCCATGAAGTCAACTACGAAGTCGCCACACCACCACCACCCCCTTTCGGCTCTGCGAGCTAAGAGATCGTGATCTTTTTGGCGTTGCCGCGGGATCTTGGACCAGAGGACTTGCGAGTCACCTCCGGAAGGCGTGAGTGATGCTATCTTGTCGCTGATCTGGCACTCACATCGATGGCGGTCAGCGAGGAGGTCACTCAAGACGGCGAGGACGTCAGGCAGACGGAGGCGACGAGGCATCTTGATGCAGCAGAATGCCCACCTTGCACCAGATCTTATGTCCAAGCAGTGGCAATGGAGCTGGACAGGGCAGATGGACACACCGACTCATTCTCATTTTCGTGGCAAAGGAGGGATCAGCGGCAGCAGCCGAGGAGGTTGAGGAGGGCTCTGGGACGGCCACATCCATCCGAGCAAAAGCCAGAGGCGCATGCTGCGTCGGCGCTCCACGTTGGCCCAAGGATACCGCAGGCGCTGCTCTTGGCCCTCGTGCCCTTTGTTGCCACCCTGCCGCTCGTCTGTGAAGCGTTCCGGCCGCACATGAGGCCGGTACAGCATCACCCTATGAGGCCATCCCTCTCTCTTCGGCGGTCCCCCCTCTGCCCTCCCCCGCAAATGATCCTCAACGCCCAAGAGTTCCCGCTGTGCTACCCTCCCAGGTTCACCGTCCTCGGCGGCGGCAACTTCGGCCTGGCTCTCGCGTGGCTGCTGGGGCAGAAGAAGATCCCCACCACCATCCTCTTGCGCAGTCAGGAGTATGCTGAGTGCATCAACACGGAAAGACGGCACCCCAAGTACCTGAGCGATGCCAGGTTCCCCGAGAGTGTGAGGGCCACCACTGACGCGGCGGACGCGTTGAAGGACGTGACGCACATCGTCCATGCGGTGCCGGTGCAGTTCTCGCGGGCAACGCTCAACAACATCAGCCACCTCATACCCCCCAACGTGCCGGTGCTCTCCGTGTCAAAAGGTGGGTGGGGGACTCGGATGGGATGCATGGACACACACGTTGAGTATGTTGTGTTGTGTCATGCAGGCATTGAGGCGAATACGCTGTCGCTGATGTCTGACATCCTGGAGGAGACTCTCGGCAAGAACCGCAGCTACGCCTTCCTGTCGGGTCCCTCATTCGCTCGGGAGATCGTCAGGGGCCTGGCCACGGGGGTGGTGGTCGCCTCCACCGACAAGCGGCTGGCACGGGAGCTGCAAAACATTCTCAGGGGCGAAATGTTCCAGGTGGGGGAACGGGCAGGCAGGCAATCGATTCCGCACAGACCGATGGATGTGTGGCCGCTTGGTTGTGTGTGCGCCTGTCTGTGTGTCGATTTGTCAGGTATTCACGAGCAACGATGTGATAGGTGTGGAGATCGGCGGTGCAGTCAAGAATGTTCTAGCCATTGCGGCAGGAATGTGTGAAGGGCTCGACCTCGGTGGGGAAACATATGCACCTGACGTGAAATGCCTCGTGATTTCCCATATACTTATAACTTGTTGTCTGTATGTCATCTGAACTGAGCAGGAACCAACGCGATCAGTGGCATCGTGACGTCGGGGGCGATGGAGATGCGACGGTTCGGGAGGAAAATGGGCGCCAAAGCGTCGACCTTCTCAGGTAGGTCGGTCAACACACACATACACACACTGAGCCACGGGTGCATTCATTCACTCTCGCCCCTTGCTTCCTCCTTGTATCTCTGTCTGTCTGTGTGTCCATTGGCAGGTTTGTCAGGTGCGGGTGATCTGTTCGGTACTTGCTTCGGTCCCCTCTCCCGCAACCGAGCCTTCGGAGTGCGGCTGGGCCGTGGCGAAAAGGTCGAGGACATACTCGCATCCTCATCAGAAGTCGCAGGTACTGGGGCACACAGACAGACAGACAGACGTGAGACGGAAGATGCTGCTGCTGCGATGCTGCTACTGTGGCGTCTCTCCCTTCCCTCCCTATGTGTCTTGCAGAGGGTGTGGCGACGGCAACAGCTCTCGTGGAGCTGATCAAGGCCAAGGAGGGTGGATATCGGATTGACCTGAAGTACCCCATAATGTTTGCCATCGCCGAGATCATCAGCGGCCACCTCACACCCAGGGAAGGGCTGGAGGAGGTCATGAAGGGCAACTCACTCGTCGATATGGTCTACACATGATGATGACCATGAGGACAGCCAGGACAGTCACTGGCTCAGAGGGTGGGGTGGGTGAGGGGCGGTTGGGTGCTTCGATTGACAGCTGTCGAGAGCTGGTCAGGTCAGTCACTCATTTTGTGCGGATGGGATGGGCGGGGGGATTGATTGGCCTTTTTGCGGCGTGCCGTGCCGTGCGGTGCGGGCGGACCTACATGCGTGTGTGGTGTATGGTGCATGGCGTGAGGGGTGTTTTACACTAGCCATTTAGCTGAGCTAAGCTGAATTCGGTGGTTCGTGTCGTGTCGTGTGATGGGTCGGACGCCTCTTGTCTCTATCGCTCCATCCATCCATTCGTACGGACATACATACATACACTGGTTGGTTGATCAATGATCACATCGTACGAGCGACGGCGAATCCAGAATGCAAAATGTCTCCATCTGACGCACACCACCCCACCTATTTCAGCCGCCAAGTCATCACTGTAGAAAAGCTGAGGAAAAATAGGCTCTCAGCACTCACTCTCTCACTGGCGCCACCATACCACCGCCCGCCTGCCTGCCTGCCTGCCTGTCACGCCGACCCGCCTGAACGGAGGCATATCGCGTCTGATGAGACGCAACGTGCCGCCGTTCGGACAGCCCAACTAATCACGCAAGCAGTCAGGACAATCAATCAAGGCACAGGTCACCGTCCGTCCAGCCCTTGCACACAGAGGTGGAAACTCTCCATGAGAACCCCATCCCTCACTGTCTCGCTCACTCACTCACTCCCTCTGTATCGGTCAGGGGTTAAGTGTGGCACCGAGAAAAATGCCGTTGACACATCCATTCATCTCCCTTGCGTAGGGAGATGGACGCACACGTGTACTGTACGTATGTATGTGTGTTTGTATGTATGTTTGTAAATCCGTCGTACACTCGCTCTCTGCGATGGATGGCGTTTCGACCCTGCTCGCCCACAGCCGCGTACCTCTCCACCCCGCCAAGGTTAGCACGGCGGTGCAGAGAAGGACACGGCCATGACCGCACAGGAACCGAAACGCCGCCAGCAAAGCAAGAAAGGAACATATGACAGGCAAGGAATGCGGGCTCGGTACTGACTGTACTGGGGAAAAAGGTGGACCGTACAGCCGCTCTCTCGCTCTTTGTCTGTCTGTCTGTCTCCGTTCGACCCGTTGAGGCGAACGAAGCGAGTGAGACAGCGAGTGAGGCAGGCAGGCAGGTACGTACACATACATACAATCATCAAACCATCAACCCATCCGGTAGGTAATGAGTGCGATCGCCAAACACATGAAAACCCATGTAGGCACGTACGTACGTCCTCAGCGACACCACCCACCCCGCCCAGCCCAGCCCAGCTACGCACCCATTGCTAGTAGGGCACCGAGCCCCTCCTCGCCGCCTGCTGCTGCTGCTGCTGCTGAGTCGAAGACATCGTGGGCGACTGTCCCCCACTGCCCAGAGAGGGCGACCTCCCCGACGGCGAGCCGCCCACACCCACATTGTACGACACAGACGGCCCAGCACTCATGTGCAGCATACCCATGCCGCCAGGCAACCCGCCAGGCATCGTCGCGTAGGTGCCAGGGACACCCTGACCCCCTTGCTGCTGCTGGTGCTGGTGCTGTTGCTGCTGGGCGGCCATGGCTTGTGCGATTCCTGGCTGGAAGGCGGTGAGGTAGCCGAGGGACGACGGCTGCATCGACGAGGCGAAGGTGCTGCTCCGCTGCGGGTACTCGGGGAAGGAGGGAGCGGGGGCGGGGTACGACTGGCTCATGGCCGACTGAGCTTGGGGCGTACCACCGCCACCACCGCCAGCAATCTGGGGAAACGCCGGAAACTGCTGCGAGCCGAACCCCTCCGAGAAGGACGGTGAGTGGAATGCTGGCCTGAAGGCGTCACTTGCACCCGCTGCTCCTCCTCCCCCTCCCCCTCCCGCTGCCGTCACCTGCTGCCCCTCGTCTCCCCTCTGCTGCTGCACGGTGGGCAAGACGTTGTCGATCTCTGCCGACAGCAGGTCGTCCAGCCCGTTCCTGAGCGTCAAGTCAGCGTTGGATGCGCTGGATGCCGATACGGGTGTGGTGACGGGCTGGGCGTTGGCGGCGGGGTGTGCCTGCTGCTTGGGGGTGGGCGTCTCTGTGGCCTCGCCCTCGTCCCAGTCGATCAAGTTGGGCAGGGACTCTGCCTGTGGCTTAGGTGCTGGTGTGGGTGTGGGTGCCTGCTTGTCGACGGATGTCTGTGGTGCTGCCTGGGGGGCGGGGGCGGTCTTAGGCTTGATGACGTACACGTCGCATAGGAGCTCACCTGCATTGCATGTGTGGACACACGGAGGGCAGGCAGAGGGACGCAAGGATGGACGGCCGCCAGTGAGGCGTGTGGTTGCCTGTCCCACCCATCCCACTCCCTCACGCGTACGGCACACCCATACCGGCGTATCTGTCCTTGTGTTCGAGGGTGATCCATCCCGTGCACCTCTTGCTGTAGTCGTCACCCAAATTCGACAACGAGAAATGCGCCTCAGCCGCCCTCTTGTCACCAAACTGATAGACAAACACCGACACAGACATACAGAGACTTCCACGGGAGAAAGTCGTTAACTGAGTGTGCGGCTTCTTCCCTGGGTGCTCGTGTTGGCTGACTACACACACATACATACGTACCATCATCCTCTGGTGGTAGACGGTGAACCGGACGAACGACGTGTCCTGGAACTTGGTGAACTCAAACGCCCGCTGGAAAACCGGACGCTCATCGCCTACACAATGACCACCACCACAACACCAGCACAACGCACACAACGAACCCCATGCAATCGAATCAATACGGGTGCGGTGCCGTCTCGTTGATGCCCTCCTTGCCTGACTGACCTTCCACGAACTGTGTCTTGTAGGGGAACCCCTCGACCTCCACCTCTATCGAGTGCGCCCCCACATGCTTGAGCTTCCGCGCGCGCACCACATTCACCACCAGGGTCGGCACCTTCCTCCCAGCACGCACCTTCTCCCTCTCCCGCTCCGCCCTCGACCCGCGAGACGACGACGACGCCGCCGCCTTGGAAGCGGCCGAAGACACAGACACGGGGGAGGGCTGCTGCGGCTGGTGGGTGTCCACTGTGACGGGCACTGGCACTGGTGCTGGGAGCTGCTGCTGCTGCTGCTGCTGCTGTTGTGACTGTTTGCGTTCGAGTTGGTGTTGTCGTTCGGCGGGCAGGTCGCGGCGTGCTTCGATGGCCAACGCGACGGCCTCCTGTCAGTCAGCGACATTCAGGAATCGACAGTCAGTCACAAGCAGTTACCATTCATTCACTCTTTCCGAGAGCTCACCTCGACGTTCCAGTTGGTGGCGTTGAGCAGCCTGACGGCATCCTGCGGGGTAGACCTCAAAACCTCCGCGACTGCACAGCAACACCGAAGCATGTCAGACACACAATGATTAGCGCCCCTCGAAGCAAATGTGAGTGCTCAGTGGTGCGTCATTGTCACCTGTGTCGATTTTCTGCTGTTCTTCAGGCGTCAGCGGCATGGCGGACGGCAATTAAGGGTTGCAGCCTTTGGAGGACAATCAACTGTTGCAAACTCTCACCCTATCAGACGCTCTGCGCTGTGCGTTCCATGCCTCTGTGCTTCTCTTTTTTCCTTCGGCGATCCGCTGCGAGCTTAGAAATGCCATGGAAGAAGGCGGCTGATTTGGTGATGCGCTTGGTAGCGCCTGGAGCGCCAGCCAGCTGATTACACTGCCACAAGAGCAGATCTTCACCTCATCTTCATTGAACGCGTTGTCCAAGGTGAGAATGCGCGATGGCACTCATCATATGCCTTGCGATTGTGATGCCTGTGCATATCACATGTGCTCTGCTTGTGTGTGCAGTGCAGGAAGGCTGTCTATCGATGAAGGTTCCTCTGGTCAAGATATCCGGAGCCACCAGCTGGCGAGAGCTGGGGCGGCAGCATGGCGCCGCCATCGCAGAGCGGATAAGAGCCACCAGCACCTTTTATATGGACTTCTTCAGGCAGAAGTGGCACTTCACTGAGAGCGAGATAGAGGAGCAGTGCCAGGGGTTCGCAACCAGCATCCGGAACTTCAACCCGGCGTACACAGAGGAGCTGGAGGGCATTGCAGAGGGGGCCAACATGCCAGCATGGCAGGTCAGTCAGTCGCTCACAGGCAACGGGCGGTGCGTGAGTCGCCTCTCATTGGATTGGATGTGGACCGTTTGTCTGCCATTGATATTATGTGTGTATACCGTCTGTTTCTTTGCTGCAGGTGTACACGCTAAATTGCCGCACTGAGCTTCTTAACTACAAGAAGAGCCTTCTCGAGGGGGCTGACGCCTCCTCTGCCCCGAGTGAGTGCACCGCTCTCTGCAACGCGCGTGCCGGCCTGCTGGCACAGAATTGGGACTGGGATGAGACGCTGGAGGATTTGGTTGTTCTCATGCTTATGGACAAGCCTGACGGATCGCAGATCATGATGCTGACAGAACCGGGGATAATAGGAAAGGTGCGTATGACAGAGAGGTCAGGGGAAGGGGGCCAGCGTTGTTTGTCTGTGTTGCTGTGTGTCCACCCAGATAGGCATGAACAGCGCGGGTGTGGGCGTGACGCTGAATCTGCTGACCGAGAAGGCTCCCGCACCGCCGCCAGGCACTGTGCCTCCGCCAAACTATGGGGTGCCTATCCACATTATCTTGAGGATGGTGCTGGACTCGCACTCCGTGGGCGACGCCCTGGCGAAGCTGAGGGCCCTGCCGCAGAGGATGAGGGATACAGCCAGCTGCATCATCATGGCCGACAGGACATCGACCTGCCACATGCTCGAATTCTCGAGAGAAAGTAAGCATGCGACGATGGGATGACAGAGAGACGGCGGGCACGTGCTCACTCGTTGCTTCCCTCCCTGTGCCCCTCTCTTGCTGTGTGACTCAGCGATGGATGAGATCAAATGTCTGCCGGCGACCGACAAGTGCCCCTCCCGGCCTTTCTCCCACTCCATCCCATTCCACACCAATCATTATCTGGGCTGCGGCCTTCAGAACCAAGTCACAGGCAGTGAATCGTCGTATGCACGGTTCCACACGCTGGACGGGCTGCTACAGCAGCTGAGCGGCCCTCCACTGCTCCCCGACATCCACAAGATGCTTGCAGACCGGTCCAATGCAGAGTATCCCATCCAACGGCCTTACAAGCTTGACACGTGAGCAGATGGAGTGCGCTAAGAGGGATGAATGGATGGATGGATGGATAGCCCCCTGCCATGTGTGTGTGTGTGGGCGTGTGTGTGTGGTGTTTAGGTATGAGCTGATGAGTGGCACGATATCGACCATTATCATGGACCTGCACAGGGGGGTCTTCCATCTCACACGAGGTATTTTAGGGCTCTCCTTGAGCTACCCAGCCACTGCGTCCCATTGTCTGTCTGTCTGTCTGTCTGTCCATCCATCCAGGCAATCCTTACGAGAATCCCCTCGAGGCCGTGAGGGCGCCGTGGGCGGCAAAGTGGCAGTGCGGCGATTTCCATGCCTGTGACGGCGGGTGGGTGGCCAGGGAGCCTGTCAACGGACCGACATGCATGCCGTGTAGAGCAGTAGAGGGGACAGTCGATTTGCCATTGCATGATCGATGCCCTCCCTTTTCTTGTTGACTTCAAACGCGCCTTCACTGTCAATAGACTCACGATGGCTGCAGCTGAATGCGTCCGTAGAGAGAGAAAACAGCAGCGCCCGGGAAAAAACCGTTCGCGTATCTCTTCGCAACAAATTGTGTTACACACACACAGCTACCCGATTCATTGCGGTGCACCGATGGATGGAATTCATGCATTGACGGCCATATTCACTTAAGATGAGTCTGTCAGTCAGCACCGCCCAGCGGCGTATGCATGAGTCGCATGCACCATGGTGTCTCACGAGCTCTCACACCACACCAATGGCATCAGTCACCCCCTGCTGATGACGAACTGTCCCGTGTCGCTGCGCACCGGCCCTCCGCCAATGACGTTCTCGGCCACAGAGCGGACGCGAGGCAGCAGAAAGCCGCTCGGTGTCACCTCCACTGCCACCGGCTTGACCATCATGTGCTGCAGGGCCGCCTCGTGCTCGCAAGGCCAGAAGACGTCGGCGCACTTGGAGGCGAAGGCACGCTTCTCCTCGACAGACGCAAAGGAGACGGCTCTGGCACATCTGCCGCGGTAGGAGGACGGGGCATGACAGCTTATGCCGTCAGCACCAATCGACCAACCTGACATACAAACAAACAAATGGATATATACACAGTGGACAGACAATGCATGGATGTGCCTTACCGACAGGACACTTTGATGTGTAGTCTCTGCTGCAGGTAAGCTTGCATGGCCACTGGACGCCGCACTTGCTCTCAAACTCCTTCTTGTCCTCCACTGTGGCTGCGAAGAGGTCATAGTTTTCGTCACCGCACTCACCAAAGTATGAGGGAGGAGGCTAGCCGTCACGTACCGCACACACAGACATACAGACATACAGACACAAATTGGTTGGTTGGCTGGCTGATTGATGGATGGATGGATGGATGTGTTCACCTTGCACGAGGCGAGGTCATCGGCAAGCGGCCAATTTCGCGGACATACGAACGAGTAGTCCTGCACAAAGACATAATACAGAGAAGGACAACACCGATGGATGCGATGCATCAATGCTTGTGTCTCTCTCTTGTCTGTAGCGCCATCTATTGTATGTTTAACATACCTTGTCGCATGTCGACTTGCATGGGTACAGCACGTCGCATCTCTTCGCAAAGGCCATCTTGAGTGCGGGCTGCACACAAATGTGATACATCCACACATATTCCACACATATATACATCGCATTATATCGTCTGCTGTGTTGATCTACTTACTTTGAGGAGTGCGAGCGGCTCTTCAGATTTGCATTTGGTGTAGGACGGCGGCGCCACACAAGTGCCGTTCATGAGGTCCGTCCAGCCCATCGGGCAGTTGGCCAAGTAGTCTCTCTCGCACTCGCTGACACACGGCCAATGCACTGAGCACGATGCGCTCCTGAGACACACAGCAAGATAGATACAGCCACGCACGCACATGGCAGCCGGCTGACTGACCAGTGCTGTTTTTGAACTTCGTTCAATAGGGCGAAGGTGAACTCTCTGCTGCAGCGCGCCATGTACGCCGCTGGTGCTCGGCACTTGCCGCCGCCAATGTCAATCCAGCCTACGTCACACACACAGTCAGTCACGAGACACATGCATCCCAGGCACACAGGCATCCATCCACCGACCTTGTGGGCAGAGTTGGGTGTAGTCGTGGTTGCACACCGACTGGCAGGGCCATCTGACCTCACAGTCTGTCTCCAATTTCTTTTTGGCGTCGGGTGACATGTACAAAAATATCCCACTCCTGCCGCACGGACCTACATCAATTGGAACAGGGAAACCATACATTCACATGACATTGTCCCTCTCTCTCTGTGACGTCTATCTGTTTATGTACCTTTGTAGGTCGCTGGTGCATGGCACGTCTGGCCGTCGTCGGCATCCTCCCAGCCACGCGGGCACAGCTTCTCGTAGTCACGTGCGCACAACTGACAGACAGCCAAAGAGACAGACAGAATTATTGGCTTGTTGATTGATTGCATGTGTCAGTCTGTCTTGAGAGGAACGTTGAATGAAAAAGGACGACCAGACGCCTGATCGACGAGTCCAACACGAAGGCAACAACCAACACAAAACAACCGACGACCGGAATCCCACGGCCGGAGACTACACACCTTCACACCGACCAGATCAACCGCATGGACATCCTATCCCAGTCGGCCAAAGCCCAAATCACATGGCTGGCACACGCAACCAGCACCGACGAACGAAGTCAATGACCGCAAAGCACAAGGCCCCAGGATCACCCAGGCGAACCCATCACCCTACGCACTTACACCGATGCACCACACCCCACCGGCCCTGACTATCACGGCCGGTCCTAAGCAAAAAAATACGGAAATGCGGGCGATAGGGGCCACGAGAGATGGGGTTCTCAAAAAAGGCATTCGCCCGCTGCTGGGCCTGCGCCTCTGCCGCACAGGGCTCATGAAATCCGCATAAACGACGCCCGATCCTCTTCACAGCAGGCCGGTGGGGGAGCACGGCGGCGGGCCAGTTTGTGCAGCAAGTCGATGGTCTGCTGCCCCCATCGGCCGCACGTCTCGACAGCGAAAGGGACAGGCAAACACACCACCCGGAGAGAGAGAGAGAGAGGGAGAGAGAGGGAGCTGTAGATGTGATATAGCAGAGCTTGAGCAAGCCTCCTCAGAGAAGGAATCATGTTGCTATGGCTGCTGGTTGTCTTCTCTCGGTGTTTGCTGGACCAGCGGCTGAGACTCGGGCGCAACCGGTCCATCTGCGGCGGGCAGGTAGTCGTTGCTTCTCAGCGGCTGTCGCGCCGGGTCGCCCCCAGCCACGCTCACATTGTGCACCACACGCACGCTGTCGGCCATTGGCGGGGCGGTCGGCACACCTCCCACTGTGTAGCCAGCCAAATGGGCCGAGACGGGGTGCAGCCCAGTCGTGACCACCAGCACCTCTCCTCTGCTGACTCGTTCTTTGAAGGACCACACAACGAAGCACAAGTATAACGACAGCAGACAGCCGGGGAAACTGAGCACCAGGCACACGATGATGAAGTCGTCGAGTCGTTTTGTCTGCTGTGGGGTGAGGTGGTGGCCGTCAGGGTTCGCCTCCTCCTCCTGCTTGATCGCCTCATCCATATCGTGATCGATCTGGTCGTTCAAAGATGGCAGAAAGAGGAACACCAGTGCCCAGAGGAACACCAGTGTCGAGAGGACCGCCAGGAATACTCTGTAGAAGTAGTAGAGCTTGGCTGAGGGCAGATGCAGGTCGGCCGCAGCTCTCCACGCAAGATAGCCGAAGCCAAGATTGATGGCCGTCTGGAAGACAAACGGAAGAAAGCCGCTGCCCGACAAGACTCCGAGCAACCCAAACGTCCCCCATATGATGGACAGCACTCCGAAGATGTACATTTCCATCTGCAGCGTGCAGCCGCAGCAACATGTTGTCGCTGGAGCCAACCCGAAAAACCTTCGATGCGGCGACCACACTGCCGGTGCGTTTGGCACATCCATCTTCTCGATCTCTTGCTGAACAGGACACGTCCGCAGCACCTCACATCTTGTCCCGTCCTTCCTCTCTCGCCCTTCCGCCCTTTCAGTCTGCCTACCTGTCGAGTTGGCTCTTCCTTCACACTTGGTGCACTCGTGTTTCGTTGGCGACGTTCATGGCCTCCAGCGCAATGCGACGTGGTGGAGAATGGAACATAGAAGAGCGATCGCACGCGAGCTTATGCATGAAGGCAAGCGGGAAAAGGAGCCTCTCGCCATCCCAGAGCTTCCCCTGCAGCTGCAGCATGAGTGTGTTGATGCATCTGGCATTCGCTTCAGCAGCCTGGGTTTTCCACGCTGCCTCTGCTGCCGTCAGGGCAGATCACTTGTCCTTCCTCGTCCCTGCACCCCGGCAACCATGGCAGAGATCTGGCCATGGCCAGAGAGCGTCGCCACGGCACTCTCGGAGGAGGGGCATTCATGCGCTGCGGATGAGTGACGACGGCGACAAAGCGCCCGAGTCTTTCTATGAGGTGCTCGGTGTGGCTGAGAATGCTGACGCTAGGCAGATCAAGAAGGCCTACAGGCGACTGGTACGTCCACCATCACACATTGACTCATTGTGCATCCTTGACCTGACGTGATCTGGTGTGATGTGACCTGGCGTGTTGTGTGCAGTCGGCTGACGTACATCCCGAGGTTGACGCTTCACCGGAGGCATCTGCAAAGTACCAGCTACTGACGGAGGCATATGAAACACTCAGGTATGTTCGCACTGACAGCGGATGAGCAAACGGCATGGGAATCATCCTGTTGGTCGTTCTCACAGGGACATCAACAAGCGGGCAGCCTACGACGGCCGTAGGCTACGCGAGAAGCTGACGGGCAGTGCCGCCCCGATCACCCCTGTCACGCCCTCACCTCCCACTCCAGCTCCTGCCAAGCCACCGACTGCCCCTGCCCCCGAACCCGTCACCTCATCGCCACCAACAGCGCCTCCATCATCAGGAGCACAGCAGCCGGCAGAGATGGACGTGTCGCAGGCAATGCAGGCGCTGGGAGGGGGATCGAGTGAGGGCCTGGGCCGCATCCTTGGCGAGGCGTTCAAGATGATCGCCTCGCAGGGGGCGAACAAGCTGCTCAAAGATGTGGTCGAGTTCCTCGAAGACAACCTGACGGAGGAAGGCATGGAGGTCGGTGGGGAACCGAGGCAGACCAGACAGCATCGGGCGGAGCGTCAATTGTATGCATTTGATTGCGTGTCGTCAGGCTGAGCTCGAGGAGATGTTTCTTCGCGGCAACGTGGATGAGATCAGGAAAGAGATGAATGCCACCGACAACCTTCTCGAACAGCTGAGGTGACCGCCACACTCACAGCACCCACCTAGGGACATCCATACTGATATACAACGGTGTTTCTGGTGCAGGTCCAAGTGCGGAGACCTCGAGCGCGAGAAGCTAAAGGCCGACAGGGTGGTCCGCCAGTTCAAGGAAAAGGGCATGGGCGACGACCTCCTCATGAAAGCAGCAAAGTGAGCACACCGCATGAGAAGTAGGCAGGCGGCTGAGAATGGTGTTTGTCATCTTTCATTGTGCAGGCTGGAGGATGAGATGAAGGCTGTCGAGAAGTCAGCGGGGCTGAAGGCGCAAATCGATCAGCTACAGGTGGGTGAATGCTCTCTGCCCACGACACCACTCAGGCGCTCTTTCCTGTCCCTCTGTCATCAGGAGTACATCCGCAAGCTGGAGTCTCGGTCGAGGATACTCAACAAGAAATATGCCGAGCTCTCCTATTTCCCAGGTGGCACTGGCCGCGACTGGAATCTCGAAGAGCCACGCGAAAGAGTGATCCCCATCTATGGCAAAGGGGAGGAGCCTCCCGCCTCGCCCTCCCCTCCTCCGTCAAGGGCGCGGCAGATAGAGATAGTGGACGACTTGTCGAGTGGCGAGGGTGAGGGAGCGGCAAAGTCGATAACCGTCGAGGTGGCGTCGAAACCACGACAACCACAGAGGTGAGTGAAGGCGAGAGTGAAAGGATAGACAGATAGCGCATGCTGTGTCTGTTGTGTCTCTGTGTGTGGTGCAGGGGTCAGTGGACTGGGTTGTCTGACAAGGAAGCGGCGCGGCAGGCCACTGTCGACTTAGAGCTGGAACGACTCAAGAAGCAGATGGGCCTGGACTGAAGAGTGAACGGAAAATGGCGATTCTGCCGCTCATCTGGTCTGGTTGTGCTTTTCTATGTCTGTGATGTGACTCGCTCGCTTTTTCGGTACAGTACGTGTGCGTTGTTTGTGTTTTGAGTGTACAAAGCGATCAAACGTATCTGAATGTGTGAAATAAACGGCTGACTGGCGAGTGACTGTGAAATAAACAACTCGTTGGCGCGTGTGAAGCATCATGCGTTCCTCTCATCACTTGGCTGTCGCTGCGCTGCTGGTTGTCGTGAGGGCGACTCTCGGCCATGCACTCCTTCCTGTGTCTCCCGCGGTGCAGCAGGGGCTCAAGCTGGAGGAGGCGACAAGAGCTGAGACACAGGCCTCCAAGGACGCAGAGATAGCTCTCTTCGAAGGCGTAAGCATCATTACATGGACAAGATACAGTGGCTGCATCGGTGTGAATGGCTCCGTGTCAGATTCATGATGTTGCGCTTGAGGCCATAAGCGTCGCCAACGAGACACGAGTGCACAACGAGGAGGAGGCAGCAAGCCTGAAGGAAGAGCCGACTCGACAGGTACACACATGCATTCAACCAAAAAATCCTGTCTCTTTGGCTGTCTGTCAGTTGTGCGCACGTGACTACGAGAAGCTGTGCCCGCGTGGCTGGGAGGATGCCGACGACGGCCAGACGTGCCATGCACCAGCGACCTACAAAGGTACATAAACAGATAGACGTCACAGAGAGAGAGGGACAATGTCATGTGAATGTATGGTTTCCCTGTTCCAATTGATGTAGGTCCGTGCGGCAGGAGTGGGATATTTTTGTACATGTCACCCGACGCCAAAAAGAAATTGGAGACAGACTGTGAGGTCAGATGGCCCTGCCAGTCGGTGTGCAACCACGACTACACCCAACTCTGCCCACAAGGTCGGTGGATGGATGCCTGTGTGCCTGGTATGTGTCTCACAACTGACTGTGTGTGTGACGTAGGCTGGATTGACATTGGCGGCGGCAAGTGCCGAGCACCAGCAGCGTACATGGCGCGCTGCAGCAGAGAGTTCACCTTCGCCCTTTTGGACGAAGCTCAGAAACAGCACTGGTCAGCCAGCCGGGGGGCACGTGCATGCGTGGCTGTATCTATCTTGCTGTGTGTCTCAGGAGCGCCTCGTGCTCAGTGCATTGGCCGTGTGTCAGCGAGTGCGAGAGAGACTACTTGGCCAACTGCCCGATGGGCTGGACGGACTTCATGAACGGCACTTGTGTGGCGCCGCCGTCCTACACCAAATGCAGATCTCAAGAGCCACTCGCCCTCCTCAAAGTAAATGAATGAACACAGACAGCGACAGACAGACGAGAGGATATAATGCGATGGATGTGTGGATTATGTGTGGATGTGGGGATGTATCACATTTGTGTGCAGCCCGCTCTCAAGATGGCCTTTGCGAAGAGATGCGACGTGCTGTACCCATGCAAGTCGACTTGCGACAAGGTATGTTAAACATACACATGGCTGGCGCTGCAGACAAGAGAGAGACACAAGCATTGATGCATCGCATCCATCGGTGTTGTCATTCTCTGTATTATGTCTTTGTGCAGGACTACTCGTTCGTATGTCCGCGAAATTGGCCGCTTGCCGATGACCTCGCCTCGTGCAAGGTGAATACATCCATCCATCCATCAATCAGCCAGCCAGCCAACCAATTTGTGTCTGTATGTCCGTATGCCTGTGTGTGCGGTACGTGACGGCTAGCCTCCTCCCTCATACTTTGGTGAGTGCGGTGACGAAAACTATGACCTCTTCGCAGCCACAGTGGATGACAAGAAGGAGTTTGAGAGCAAGTGCGGCGTCCAGTGGCCATGCAAGCTTACCTGCAGCAGAGACTACACATCAAAGTGTCCTGTGGGTAAGGAAGTGTCACTGATAGCCCGAATCCTGTAAGTATCCATTTGTTTGTTTGTATGTCAGGTTGGTCGGTTGGTGCTGGCGGCATAAGCTGTCATGCCCCGTCCTCCTACCGCGGCAGATGTGCCAGAGCCGTCTCCTTTGCGTCTGTCGAGGAGAAGCGTGCCTTCGCCTCCAAGTGCGCCGACGTCTTCTGGCCGTGCGAGCACGAGGCGGCCCTGCAGCACATGATGGTCAAGCCGGTGGCAGTGGAGGTGACACCGAGCGGCTTTCTGCTGCCTCGCGTCCGCTCTGTGGCCGAGAACGTCATTGGCGGAGGGCCGGTGCGCAGCGACACGGGACAAGTCGTCATCAGCGCGTGACTGATGCCATTGGTGTGGTGTGAGAGCTCGTGAGACACCATGGTGCATGCGACTCATGCATACGCCGCTGGGCGGTGCTGACAGACTCATCTGAAGTGAATATGGCCGCGAATGCATACATGAATTCCATCCACCGCAATGAATCAGCATCGGGTAGCTGTGTAACCCAATTATTTCGAGGGAAAGGCAGCAGAGATATGCAGGATGGAACACACCGTCATGGCTCACGTGCCTCGCGGCATGTCGACGCTGCAGAGAATGGCCAGCCCGAGGGTGAGAGTGTGCCTCTGCATCAGTACCGCATTGCTGTGCAGAGAGGGGACGATTTGCGGGAGCTGGTTGAGGAGCAGCAGGCCGAGCTGTCACGGCTGCATCAGCAGCTGTCCTTCCAAAGCAAGGTGCATGGGGGGACACACACACACAAGATGCCACACATACAGACAGACACACATACATTTTTGTGGTCGGTGGTTGTGCGGCCGATGGGTGCAGGTGTTGTTGACCCTGAGGAATTCGACGGAGAGGCGGAGTGTCGATGTGCAGAGGTTTCGGGAGCAGGGAGAGGCGCTACGAACCATGGAACGACGCACCGGTGAGAGCTGTAACGTGGGCGGCACTGCGGGGGGACATATGGCGGCTATGTTTGGGTGTGTGTTGCAGAAACCCTTGAGGCAGCTCTGTCAGATCGCGACGCTGAGCTGGAGAGGGGCTTGAGGGAGAACACCCGACTCAAACATGAGGTGAGGTACGGAAGAAATGGAGGCATGGATTGCCTTGCCTGATTGTGTGTGTTGTGGATGGCTGCATTGCATGCAGCTGGATGAGTGCTATCGCTATCTCCATCTGAAAGACGAACAGATATCCCGGCTGCTCAAGTTGTCCATGGACAGCAACCGGACCGACCCATCAACAGCTAACAGCCAACCACCCTATCTCCCGTCGAAGGGCACGCTCTTGAGAGGGCCGTCCCGCGTTGGCAACGACAGTCTTCCTCCCCGTACCTCACTGCAGGCCGGCCCACCCATCGCTGCTGGACAACAACCTGTCTTGACCCTGCCCCTTGATGCAAGTGATTTTGATCTCGATGGACCGCAGAGGGCTACCTGAAGACACGACGATGGATGGGAGGGGGG